TACATATTCTAATGTATTGGAACGCCCGCTGTAGTTGTAAAGACTTTAGATTTTACAGCCAATTGTATATTCATGATATGTATGCAGTGGCCGTCTTGTAGTGCACTCAATTTCACCTTTCACTTCACAACATGTTTCGGCAACATAGTGCCACATCAGGTATCCCAATTACGTCAATCTATTGCATTGTTTGCCCTCACATGTTTTCACAACACCATTTAAAAAGTATTTTAAAAGTGCGTATTTGTCAACTATGATAAATTTACACTCGCTAAAACTTGTTAAAATAATTCATCTTATTTGTCTTAATTAAAACTTGCCATGTGGTTCGTTCACTATGGGGTCGTTTTTCTTATTTTCTGTGTAAACCTCGTCTTGTGATGTGTGTTACCTTCTTAGCTGCGAGTGCAACAGGACGCTAAAATATAACATTATCAATTTATATTATTTATATTGTATTTAGAATATGTATTGTAATAGTGGTTTCTAACAGTATTGATGTAAAGGTGTCCCTCTGAAGACCGAAACATGTAAGGGCATGAATAATTGAAATAAGAAAATCTGGACGGAACTATTTAACTTTTTCAAAATACAGACATACCACAGGAACGCACATAGAGGATGGTAATCTCATAAGCCAACTTTCATTTCCTTCAGAAAGGAAAGTAGGCTAAAAAACGCAACTTTCTTTCGTACCACGCTCGTAATACAGAACACCCAAATATATTATTAAACTGAAGCGTACTCTTACCAATATGTGCGGTATTCGAGTCTGTGAAAATTATTTGCAAGTATTACGGTAAAAGTTTTTCGATGCAACTCGAATTTTCATTATAATTTCTTTAAATTATATTCTTTTATTTCTTAATCTGAAAAGTCCCGGGAGAAAAGCGGGTACTGCTGTTTGTCTGATGCAAAGCTGTCCCTGTCGGCTACTCACAGGTCCACCGATCGATGTCCGAGTGTCTTGTTAACCGAGTGCATAATGCATCAGCTCCTGAAGATACATCGGCGAAACACAAGGACAATATTTGCTTTTAAGGCAAAATT